GGTGTGCTTTGTGAAAACCTTATCTGAATAGCCCCCCCCCCCCCCCCCAAAAAAAATAAATGAAACCTGCCGATAGATAAGAGTGGACACAAACCTCGGGAGATGGAAAGTCGGTGGGCATACCGTCCCCCAGGGGGGAGGTGATGAGTGCACCGCCCAGGATGGAGCTCATGTGGTGGGCCATGACCTCCTGCTGCTCCACACTGCAGTGGTTCTCCAAGGAGAGGATAACTGGGTAATCGGACGTCTGGTGGGGACGAGCAGACAGAAAACAGAGAGCGCTCAGGTCCAGAACATTCACGTGGAAGCACTGACGGACATTACGGGACGCCAAACGCACCTTAAAGGCGTACTCCTTGATGGATTTGATGGCATCCTTGAAGAGGATCTTAGAAGTCAGTGTGTAGCCGTGGTAGATCTCCGGCTCATCGTCTGATCCGTCCCAGACGTCCAGCTCCACACAGCGGCAGCCCTTCAGCAGAGCCCTGAGAGGGTCACAACCAACATCAGAGCCTGAACGGTCGGACTAAAGAAAGGCTCTGTAGAGCCAGCCGCATGAGGGTTGTCGTTAATAAACACCTAAGCAGTTAGGTGACAGATGGTTAAAATGGATAAAACAGCAACAACTAGGAGAAATGCATTTGAATTAGGAGAAGTAGCAAATCCTTACCTTTGTAAAGCTGGAACCATTTTAATCACTTAAACAATGAATCAACTAACAAAATGGTTGCAGAAGAATTTTTCCATCTATCAAATGGTGACTCAATCAACCAATCACAGTGGGTCTTCACATCCACCTCTCCACCGTCACACAGATTCTCACGGGCTGGAGGAAAGCGGTTACCTGATGTAAGCCTCCGTGCTGCTGGGCCCTCTGAGCTGGTCCTCCATGAGGTAGGTGTTGTGCGAGGAGGAGATGAAGTACTGGTTGAGGGGCCGGCTCATGTCCTGGTGCACCTCCCTGTGGTCTGGATTGAGGACCATGGCCTCTGGATGGTGCAGGTACATGAGGAAGCCGTCTTTGGACAGCAGCTTATTCTCCTTGGCTGGAAGAACACGAGGAGAACGGCAACGATGATTTATGTCGCATAGGAATCCGAGATAAAGATCACAAGTTATGTTCTGCACCTCTTAGCATTCGTGTTGATAGTTGCCCTTAAAAAGCCCTGTCTAAAAGGTGAGCTGGCTCCCCCGGCATATTTTAGATGCACATCACCTGATACATAATAACAATCTCAATGCAAAATACAAGGATCATGGGCCCTGCTGGGTTTCAGCAATACTTGAAACACCTGAAACAAAGAGACGGTTATTTCAGCACGCCGTACTGACCGTTTTCGTCTGGCTCGTGCTTCTGGATAATGCTGTGTGCGTCGGCCAGCGTGGCCTTCTCTCTCTGCTGTTCCATGATGAAGTCCACCAGGTTCTGAGCACTCATGAAGCCCGTGGTTTTAGCGAACTCTCCGTAGATGACTTCGATCTCCTTCCGGTGGGTCAACAGGTCATAGAAATGTTTGATCTCCTCTCCAGCCAGGTATCCCGATTTGGATTTGTCGCATTTCTGTGCGGCGGAAATGTCAAATGAAAGTCGGTCCACACACTTAAAAACGTCATCATGGTCTTAAATCATCATAAATCTTTTTTTTTTTATTGCTCCTGAGGATATCTACTCATGATTCTGACATTTAGGAATCATTCAAAAGCTCGGAGGGCATCACCTGGAAGAGCATCTCAGCGTAGTCGTCATCCACCTCGACGTTGATCAGACGCAGGAAGTTCTTGAGCTCCGACTGACTCATCTTATCATCTTTGTTCTTGTCGGCTTTCCTCAAGCAGCTGAAGATCCAACTATAAAGCTTGTAATGTAAGGAGAGTAGCTGTAACGGCGTCTTTCTGTCTGCATTGTGAAACTGTGTGCAACAGGAGCTCCTGAACCACGAACAAATGAGTCACGTCTTAACATCTAGCCTAACCCTAACCCCGCTCCCATGAGAAGGATACTGCTCCGTCTTCTGCTGCCTGTTGAGGTCCTTTCTGCTGGAGACCACTTTCTCCAGGCTGCTGACCCACCGCTTGGCCTCCTCCTCTGAGCTGGCGATGAGGTCCAGGTTCTTGCGGCGGCCCTTGAACATGATGGAGAAGCAGCGGCCCTCCACCTGGTCCTCCGTGTTCTTCCTCAGGCCCTCCGAATGACGGCCCATTCGCACCGCCGAGATCTCGTCGAGTGAAACTGAAGACAGGAGAAGAGTTGCAAATGTTTTTGGGGGTTTTTCCTCCACTTCAGGCTCTAGAAGACATTTTTGTCACCAAATTTGAAGCACAGACTTGATGTATTTTAGTATGGCAGCTTTTCTTTATCAATGACTACTTTTAACATACTCTGTGTATTATGTTAAATATATATTTTTCATGTTTACTTTGTAGGTCTATGGTGCCGTGATGTGATTATGAACCTTGATTGATTGATTGATTGATTGATTGAGTGATGTCATTTTGTAGTGACCTGATTGGTCCACGTGGGTCTACCAACCTATTTAAGATATGCTCTCTGGAAAAGTAACGGGATGAAGGTCTAGGGGCCGACACGTTAATAAATATCTCTGAATGTGAGTGACGAGCACAGTGTGTGTGAGTCTTGCTGTTGTACACTTCCAGAATATATCGTTCAGTAAAGGAATTGTACTATGTCTAATCGTGCTATAAACACAAGGCAGCTCTTTTGTACTGTTGGTATCTTCAGGCATCACAGACCAGCCTGCTTGGTAAACACAAAGCTGCTGTTTGCAGTTTGCTGACGCCACATTACGAGTTTGGGGAGACTGAATTTCAACATCTGCTGATGTGCAAAGTGGTGGGATGCACCTTTAAGGGTTGCATGTCATCACGTGTGGAGATAGAGAATGAAGACACCACTATGCCACAGTTATCAAACTGACACTTCATGACAGCAGTTTATGGATGTAATCCAAGGTATAAAACCTGACCTACTGCAACCACTCCAATGCACACTATAAAAAAATCACTATCTTGATAAACACACCCACAGAACATAACAATGCTATCTTGAGCAACCCAGTTGCGTATGATAATGCAGAGGACTTTCAGAGAGGAATAATCTTTTTATAGCTCTACGATCCATCCTTCACTTTTATAATCCATGAATAAAAAAAATCCATCTGGTCTGAGAAAAGACTGATTTACTTGTAACAGTGCTGGAGACACAAATCATATTAATGTGATGACTTTATGTCATAAGTAAAGAAGAGGTGTGAGATGTGTGTCCAGCACAAACAATCAGACAGATGTGTGTAAGAGTTGTTTTCTGTCAGGTCTCACACACATGCAGCTGGGTAGCTGGGACGGCAGCACTCACAGGTCTTGCTGTCCTTGAAGGTTTTCTTCGATTCACGCCACATGGTCTTGCAGTCCTCCATGAGTCTGAAGTAGCGGGTCTTCTTCCAGGACGGGGAGAGGACCTTGAGGAGGTCTCCCCCCTGCAGGAGGAACTGGAGGTCCGGATCGCCCTCCATTTCTGTGAACACCCCCCAAAGGAACAGAGAGAACAATCCAACAGATTAAACACTGCTTTTCTGTAAAGTGTTCTGAACTGAAGCCCGTTTTACTCGATCCATGTGTCAGGTAACTGAAAGCGTAAACCCTGCTCCCATCTTCTCCTTTTTTTTTTTTTACCTGAATTCATCTCATCAGAAAAACTGCAGAAAATAAGGAAACGTTCAAACCACAAGCAACAAAAGCTGGCTGATTAAAAGCCCTTCACCATGCAACATTTTAGAGCTTTAGATAGATAGATAGAAAGATAGAAAGACTTTATTTCAGACTCAGGGTCCATAGAGACAAATACATAAAGACAGACACCAACAATAAAAGTACAGAGGCCTAGCAATGCCTTACAAAGAGACAGCTGTACCAATGTCGCCACAGCTGGGACTGGTAGCGTGTGGTGCTAAACCTTATGTTGGTTAAAACAACTATGATCTCATTTTTAGAGTCATTAAGTCTACAAATGAATTTATACATGAGATTTTTTAACAGTTTGGAAAGTATTGACTCGTGCAGCCACAAACATTTCACTAGCACTGCTCCATCTCGCTCTCTTTAAAAGTATTCTCATGGCGTCATTGTAAGCTACTTGAAGTCTCTGTATGCTCTTTTTTTTTTGTAGTTTGACCACAAGTGTGCAGTGTAGAGTGGTGTACAATATGCTCTGAACAGACACATCTTCACTCCATCTGTACACATACCAAACCTGCTTGAGAGACTGTTTGCTCGTGCATACATCATACGACATTGCCTAGAAATGTCGTTATCATCGGTCATGTGTCCTGTTATAAAATTACGGAGATATTTTACTTCACCACAGACACCAAGAGTATTGTCAGACAATTTGAAGTCAGGGAAGTTTAGACATTTGTCCTCTTTAGCTCGACAGATGAGGGTAGCACTCTTACTGGCGTTGTATTTGATGTCATGTTCCACATAAAACAACAAGTTGAGATCTGTGACAACAAAGCACGCCACTTAGTAATCTGACCCCGGATAACCCTTTGGCCACGTCTGCTACAAGACGTCCGTTAAAAAGAATTGCAGAACAGCCTACCTAGGAGCTTTTCGTTCATTTGTATCACCTTCTGTCGTCTGGCATGGCGGCGTGCTTCCTCCGCTTTGCTGAGTTCGGGTTCACCTCGCAGGCAGTACATGGTGCCCCTGCGGTACTGAGACGCTACCGGACTGTGTTTGTCGGGGGCGATGGGACCGACCAGTGTGTCGGAGGAGGGCGTGGACCAGCCCCACTCAAAGTTCATCTCCGATAAGACTCTTGGCAGCCACGCACGCGCGTTCAGCTCACGTTACTATACGACTACTAGCCATGATGTGTGCAACGTTGCGTGCCGCAGAAAGAGGAAGCGGTTCAAAACGTCTGTTTTGTGCAATTATTAACTAGCTACAGTATGACCATGCATTTACAGCCCCTGCACGATATAAAAGTTACAGCCGTCATATAGTGTTGACAACTGTTGACTCGCGAGCTCCATCTAGTGGCGACCTCGCGGTACCGTCTCACGTGCTGTGTTCCGCTCAACCTCGGCCAGATTTGTTCACTTTTAAAACGCGTAGACTACATGTGCTGATTAACAGGTCAACCAACACACTGAATGACGAGAGGAGGGACATATGGGCCTGTTTAGCGCCTGCTGCAACAGTAGCGGGTTGTTTTTGTTGTTTTAATGGGGCAATGCGCTGTTTTGGCAACACTGCTTTTGTTTGCGGGGTAAGGTGAAACTCCTGTAATGGAGCCACACCTTTAGGTACAGCATAAACGAACCAGCGATCTTTTTCGAACACGTTTCGTTCAATATACAGTGAATATCCGCAGTTAGTGAAGAAAAACCTTTGATTGTAACCATTACAATGTAAGAAAACACGAGAGACACTCAAATACAAAAAAAATCTGGAACAAAGTCACTTCTAGCAAGTGCAAAACGCGCTTTAATTACCACAATTACACAAAAATGTGTCCTACCGTTGCTTTTCTTTTCGATCCCATTCGTCTCCATCCCTACTGAATTGTGGGCTCTCTCTCCTTTACGCAGCAAGTTTGTTTTTCCTCCCTTTTCACTTGATGCGCCGTTTCATCCAAAGTTGCTCCTTCTTTCCATGTGCGCAAAATTGGTTAAGAACACTTCCTTCCGAGTGTGGGATCGCTGAATCGAGGACGAGACAGGTGGGTCGCTACTTGCAGTCTGATTGGTGTCAGCACTCCCGGAGGCTCCAACACCGGTTTGACAAGCCTGCCATGCGAGCCACACTGCTGATGACACAACAGGGAAGGTTACACCTCAACGCTTTTGTCATCAGGCGTGGGACTGGTCAACACAACAGACTGATTTAACAGCCAGCTATTAGCAGCATAAAAGGACAACTTTAATCCAAGACATTTATTGTTCAACTCTCTAAAACACTTCCTCACCCAAAGGTAACTCTAGATGTGAATAAACAGGGAGGGGACGTTAACCTTGGAGGCACCCATAAGCCTCAAGAGACTGTTATCAGGTTGTTCTATTGATACAATATGGAATTTCACTTCACGCCTATAGTTGATATTTGCTAAAAGCGGCTTTGGCAATTGCACTTCCCCGCAGGCACCTTGAGCACAAGGTAAACATGATCAAGAAGGCTGCACAGCAGAGTTGGCTCGCAGCCAGACCACATAGTTGACATTAAGTTGGAGCATATTTGTTGCACTGAATGGGTCAGATGCAGTTTTGTTTTTTTCTTGCTTTTCTTTTCATGTGCAGCTCAGCCTTGGCAGGATAATAGCACTGCAATCACTGGTGCGTTGGGGCTCTTGTGGCTCTCAGCACTTCCCTTTCAGGCCGGGCTTACCCTCAGCGCACTGTCAGCATCAGGATGAGTGGGCTTTAATGCAGCATCAGGGGGAGAGCTTCCAGCTTCCGGGCCAGGGGCCGGGACCGCTTCCAAACCCCCCCCCCCCCCCCCCCCCCCCCCCACACAAAAAAACACGAGGTTCAGGGGAACACGCAGGAAAACAGAGTGCAGCGTTGTCTTTGGAACAAGCAGGTTATTTTACTAAAACATGCATTTTATCTTGGATTCACACTTTACACACTTGCACACCTTCATCTGGGAGCATCTCTGCTCCATGTGAGCCATTTGTGCGTTTTGCTCAAGGGCATCTTGAAGTAGGAGGGAGTTACATATTTACTTTCAGATAATTGATGATTTCACATCCCTTCCTTTTAGCCATGTAATTGGCTCTAAGAATTAACAAAAAAAGCCTGCAGCATTAGCTATTCCCTGTTCAGCTGCATGTCCTAATCTATGTGTTTTAGTAAATGTCACTGCACTCAGGAAAAGTCCTTATGCAACAAAGGTGTGTGCTTATCAGTGAACAGCAATGAAATGCATCACACACAACTTCAAAACACTTTAAACAGAAAATAATATGTGACTTCTCTTGTTGATCAAGTCCCTATTTTGCTTGGTGATGAACAAGCAAGAATAGGCCCCACTGTTTCCTCATATATCACTGATGCCGTTCATAGTTCTGCTGCTTTCCCCTCAAAACAACCTTGCGTCTCAGTGACAAAGATTATGCAATTCCTGGGTTACCACAGGATATAGGCCAAAAGAGGAAGCTACGATAAATACAAAAATATGTAAACAGCTGTCTGATGTGTGTATCTGCTGCAAATATATTTTTTCTCAATACACTGAGTTATGAACATCTTTTGAGTACACTGCATCTGGTTTTCATGAAACGTCTTGGCAAGTTCCAACATGGAGAATGAAAGATTAAAGTAGCCGGCAAATAAACACTGTAGCCTGTCTGCTATCCAGTTGTGGAAAGTGACCAACATTTATTCAAGCACTGTAATAAAGTAACATTTTTAAGTATTTGTGCTGTTCTTCAATATTTCCATTTACTTTATTTTTCTACTCCACTACATTTTAGAGCAAAATATTATACTTTTTTACTCCACTACTGTGTTTTACAGCTATAGTTATTGCGTGGGCCTACTTTCCAAGATTTTACATACAAAAAATACAATGACTATAAAAAAAAGCAATTGTCATAGATCAAACTACCAGCATTATACAAATAACATTAACACCATCTCGACCAGCTACAACTTTTAAGTACTACTTATATGTTAACTGATCACATGTAATTAGGATAAGTAATCAGATTACAAAAATAAGCAGTCAGACCAGATTACATTTGATTAAGCCAATTGTAAATGCTGAATATATCAAAGGGAGTTGTACTCCTCTCAGGTTGCCAGTTTTGTCGACGGTGATTTAACAAATATTTGGTTTTGTTTTAAATGATGATTTATGTAAAATGGAGTTTATGTTCCTTTTTATTTACACTGAAAATGGAAGATGAACATTTTGATGTGCTCTTCTTGCGTTACAAGAGCAAAGTCCTCTGTATGTGGCCTTCGATTAAAAAAACAGCAGCTCCAAAAACACAAAAGAAACAGCATCTCACATGTTGTAGAATACACACAGTACTTGTAGTTCGTGCTTGTACTGTTTTTGTTGTAAGTGTAAATTCAATTTTGACCAACTGAATGCTCAACATACAAAATGTATTTTATTTGCCGTTAACATGTTTTTAGGTGTTTAAAGAGAAAAAGGAATATTTGTGGAACTCATTCTTCGACGGGTCAAACATTGCACCTTTACCAAAAAATAAAGGCGCAATATTTGATTTTTAAGTAATCCAAAAGTATTCAGATTAGAATACATTTTTTGTAATCCAATCAATTATTAATTACAAAATTGCGATGTGATTTGATGCAGTAACTGACTACATTTAAAAGTAATCTGATCTAACTCTGTATGTTAATGATCCAAAAATACAACTCTCCGTTCTGCTTAATGAATACTACTTTCACTTTATTTAATGCACGACTTTTACTTGTAATGGGATAGTTTCTATAGTGTAGTCTTGCTACTTTTATTTAAGAAATAAATCCAAAAGGACACAGTGAGAGGCGATAGCGCCCTCTATTGAGTGTACTCTACACACTTACAGGTGCGCAGTGTGAGAATATCTTGTGTGTTGTCTGAAGACCAAAACATTTCCACTAACCGACATGCAATGCTCTATGAACTTCAATTAAGCAACTTATTACAGTGGTCCAATGTTTCAGAGTTTTTCGGATTTTACTGACATTTGGCAGACTTTGCCACACTCAAGATGGCGACGTCTTCCTCCTACTAAGTTCGTACGTAATACGATGCGTCAGTCGTGCGTGAGGTTGTGTTGACAGGAGCGGTAGGAGTTGTCAGCGGAACAGCAGCAGCCCGCAGCCAGCATCATCGGAGCTGAATGGAGTAATCACACCGATATTATTCCAGACAGCGTCTCTGTTATTACTTAGAAGCATTGTTTACACCGTTCAAACAACGACACCATGGCAGACGACCAGTCCTCTCAGTCCTGGACGATCGACAGGGATGACTACGAACTCAATGAGGTGATAGGTGAGTAGCTTAGCTTGTTAGCATCTTCCCCCCCCCCCCCCCCCTGTGTCTGCAGCGGTGTCGGCTGCCAACTGCCACTAGCTAACTAGCATGTCTGTAGCTAACAGAAGGCCAGTTACAACCCTGAGCTAAGTTACACCGGAGGAAGATTAACAGCTCTGCTAACTCCAGCCTCGTCAGCCCTGCAGAGTTTCCTTCTCCCTAGGCCACAGTATTTAATGAGTTTTCAGCTAGAAGAAGAGCTAAACGGAGATGGCTTCTTAGCAAGTCAGCGTGAAGCTAAACGGCTAGCTAACGCAAGTTAGCTTATAGTGCGTGAAGATCCGGCAGTTGTTGGAGAGGGTGGTGCTCTTTCACTGAAGGTATGACACGGATTATCGTGAGCTATTCATTCTTGACTCTAGTCATGGTAACGTAACCGGTGACTTCAGACAAAATAAAATGAAGTAAAAGGGAAATACCCTAGTCCTCAATCTTAGAAACTATATATAACTCTATGTTTTAAACTCAAATTTAGCACATTCTCACATTGCACCCAAATGATTGAGTTGAGCTGTTATAATCTGACTGCTGTCTTCAAAGGGCTCTTTAGCTCCTCCGGTGTGGGGGTTTCACTCTTGATCTTGTTCACAGGGAGCGGAGCCACTGCAGTCGTCCAGGCAGCATACTGCAAGCCCAGAAAGGAGAAGGTGGCCATCAAACGCATCAACCTGGAAAAGTGTCAAACAAGCATGGATGAGCTCCTGGTGAGAGGGCCAGTATCTGCAGTCCAGATGTTGGGAGCGGTGTGGGCTGGTAGCACAGATCAGTCGGGGACAGACCGAAAGCTTGATGCCACAGCAACCACTGAGCGCTAAAGCACCGAGAGAAATCAATAAGGCGCACACACACACCATGAAAGGAAATTCTGCCAATCTCCTGCCAAAACAGCAGTAAACAATGTGTTTGACAAATGGATAAATACTCGTGATATGTAGTATTACTGACACAAAGTGTTTATTTTCAGCTTCAGAAAGTTACGTCTTTGCTGGACATTTCTGCAGAGTGAAGGTGCAGGATTTTGCCGTATGGCACTTTCATCCCCTATGAAACGTTTTAATATTTTTGTGATCATATGGGCGACATTGATCAAATCTGACCGGGTATATCTGAATTTATATTGCAGTATCAAGTGTATATTGTGATACAGTAATTCAGGTAATCTGCATCATTTTATATTTGAGGCGTCTCATCTCGCCTGAAATAAAGATGCAACGCCACTAACGTCAGCAGAAGCATTCGGGGGGGTAAACGAATACCCGAAGGCTGCGTATTAAATGAGTGAGGCGGAGTGAGTAGATGGATAACGAGATGAGATGCCTTAGGATCTGAACACTGCCATAAAGATCATTGTTTCCAACAGGTCTGTTATCATCCTGCATCTTAAAGGGATGGCTCCTTTTCGTACAATCGGTTTAGCAAAATCCCTTGGTTGTCATGTCTCTTATCTCATGGTGTGCATATATTCTGCCTATAGGTCAACACTACCGTACAGCTACAAGTATGACTTTTTTTATGTGCTTTTTGTGCTCATTTTTAGTTTCAGTCTTGCAGCAGAGGGACTAGTTTACATGTAAAGTTAAGGTCGAAAAGCCAGAGAGATGAGTCATTGATGAGTCATTTCGTCTTCTTGGCACAATTATTGCTTTTCAAGGACTGTTCAGTATCGACATTGCAGCGTATGCCATCTGATGTTAATATTTTAATAAATGTCTCCCTACCCAGTCCTTATATGATATATATATCTATCTATCTATATCTATATCTATATATATATATATATATATATATATATATATATATCTCTCTCAAGGTCCTGAGTTAACCTGTGTCCGTCATGTCAAAATGTCTTGGTGGCTTTGTGATTTCTGCTCCCCGTGTGATCTCGTCTCTCGTGTTTCCCTCTCTGTGTAGAAAGAGATCCAGGCTATGAGCCAGTGCCACCACCCGAACATTGTGTCTTATTATACCTCCTTTGTGGTGAAGGATGAACTGTGGCTGGTGATGAAGCTGCTCAGCGGTGGTGAGTGCTGTTGTGTTTGAAGAAAGAGTAACTCCTGACTTGGCGAACTCTTATCGTCACCTTGACTTTGACTTTCTTTGTCACACCTCCTTACTTTTCTTTGTTGTTAAAGCTCAAATAAACCTGGACTTGAACTTTTCACCAACTGTTTTGCTCCCTGGTGACTTAATCCAGTAGTAGTAGGTTGTGTTGCTCTTGCTGCTGTCGGTGCCTTTATACCTGGCGATTCAGCGTTTTGGTTTGATGGGCTTTACCGTCCACATGTAGACAACTTTACGTAACACTGAAATCATTTTAGTGCAGCCACAATGTCTGATGGTTTATACAACATAAATGTGTCCTATTCAGTTCTTTCTCATTGCTCATTTCTTCTCTGCCTGCATATCTTCTTACTGGGCTAATGCTACTCTCATATAATTTGCTCCACACTGTATCTAATAAAGTGAAAACCAAATTAATTCAGCAGCCTTACTGCAACGTGCTACACCATGTGACTTGAGGTGGGCGGGACCTAGATAAAAATCCTGAGCACCTCTTCCAGAGGTATAGGAGTGAGTCTTGTGACGAGCGTTTGCCTCTCTCTGTCTCTCTCTCCCTCTCTCTCTCAGGCTCGGTGTTGGACATCATCAAGCACATCATCTCTCGTGGCGAGCACAAGTCCGGAGTGTTGGACGAGGCCAGCATCGCCAGCATCCTGAAAGAGGTCTTGGAGGGGCTGGAGTACCTTCACAAAAACGGGCAGATCCATCGGTGAGTTCTTATGACGCATCACCGATGCCTCGTCATCAACCGTGTCTCTCCCCCCCCGGTAGCCAGTACGTCCCATCGCACAGTTCCCTCTGGCACTGAGCCTTTCATCTCTGCAGGAGAGCGTGTGGTTTGAACTAGACCTCGCTCCTTCTGAATATTTAATACAGTGAAAATGCATAATTGAGGAAGTTTGTTTTACATAAAGGTTCCTCCCAGGAACACTGTGAACTGCCGCTGACAAGAAAGGCCTCTTCATAGCCTCAGTGCATTGATGTATGTCAATTATATTTCCATTCAAATTAGCAGTCTCTGTATTTTTTAAGACAGAAAGAAGTATGTTTTAAAACATGTTTCTATATACACTTAAACGACCACGATCTATCTCATTGTAAAAGTCCATAAGAATCATTTGACTGATATTTGAAGTGAAGCTGATGTTGCCGTTAGAGCGGACAGTATTTCAGTAGACGGAGAGCCGCTGTTGATTGAACTCGGATGCTGAGGCTAACTCGCTTACACATAATTAGGAGAGGGGGAGGGAGGCGGTTTGGGTCGGGTTAATCCACTCCCATTCTTTGGGCATCGTTTTCACTCGAATGTATGCAAACAGAAATCAGGTGAATTCAAATGAGGCCGATCAAAGGTGAAGCTTGAACTTGTTAGTGCGCTCGAGTGGAGAGTGTTTGTTCAATTGCATGGGAGTGTGCCATTCCTCTGTTCTAATCCTCCTCTTCATGCACAGGGATCTAAAGGCTGGAAACATTCTTCTCGGGGATGATGGCTCGGTGCAAATTGCCGGTACAGTGTTTCTACTTCCTGTTTCATTGTCGTTTGTTCAGCGTTTCTGCTTAATTTACAGTTTAATGCCCTTTTGTGTGGTAATTCTGCTACAATTATCCAGCTTCACAAATAAGGTCCACGTTGTTTCCCCTTTTTCTGGAGATTTGTTTGTCTAAATATTTTCGTGATTTTTAGATATGTTTTCTCTTCAATCACACACACTCACAGACTTTGGTGTGAGTGCCTTTCTTTCCGCGGGAGGAGACATGACTAGGAACAAGGTTCGGAAGACATTTGTGGGAACCCCGTGCTGGATGGCTCCGGAGGTCATGGAGCAGGTAGGAGGCTTGTTGTGTAGCGCTTGCTGCTCCCTCTGTTGTCCGTCCTGTAATGCCTCGTAACTGGGTGATAAAAGGAAGTGCTTTGTTCACTCGGATCTGTTTTTAATCCGCAGGTCCGCGGCTATGACTTCAAAGCTGACATCTGGAGTTTTGGGATAACGGCCATTGAACTGGCCACTGGTGCTGCACCGTATCACAAATACCCACCCATGAAGGTAACTTTGCATGGGCTTTTTTGGTACTTTGCTGTTCGTCAGTAACGCATCTACTGTCTCTTTGGTTACATGGCACATTCAGTTTTGCAAGCTACAGCCGTCTGCTTGATTAACACAAATCATTTCACCAGAAAAATACCTTTTTTTTTTTTTTTTTTTTTTTTTTTTTTTTTTTTTTTTTTTTTTT